TCTTGAAATATTTGGTCTTTTATTGTTTTTGTTTTCTTTCCTTCTTTCTTTCTTTCTTTCTTTCTTTCTTTCTTTCTTTTTTTGAGATGAGGTCTCATTCTGTTGCTTAGCTTAGAGTGCAGTGGTGTCCTTATAGCTCACTGCAACCTCAAACTCTTGGGCGCAAGTGATCCTCCTGCCTCAGCCTCCCAAGTAGCTGGGACTACAGGCATGTGCACCACCATGCCTGGCTAATATTTTTTCTTTTGTAGAGAGGGGTCTTGCTATGTTACTCAAGCTAATCTCATATTCCTGGCCTTGGTTGATCTCCCACCTTGACCTGCCAAAGTGCTAGGATTACAGGCATGAGCCACCATGTTCAAATCCTGAAAATTTGGGACAGAGGAAACAGCAAGTGCAAAGGCACTGAGGTACAGTGAGTTTGGCATATGTGAGGAACAGAAGGAAGTTCAGTTTGGAGGGGGAGCTGGTAACTGGAGTCATCACGAGGCATGTGCTAAGATGAATGAGGAAGTGCTTTGTCAACTCTTCAGTGCTGCATAAAGGTTACCAATTTTCTTTTTCTATTGCTGATGTTCATATAATGTATGTTTCAGGACCTCTAGTGACCCTGAATAAACCACAAGGACTGCCAGTAACAGGTATGGGCAGGGCACGTGAAAGGGAATGCAGTGAAGGGGGGGGGGTTGGTGTTGATGAGGGAGGGAACAGTGAGAAGAAGGGGATCAAATTTTGGCCTCTGGTGCAATTTGTACCCCCCTCTTTTTTTCTTTTTTTTTTGGAGACAGAGTCTCACTTTATTGCCCTGGGTAGAGTGCCGTGGTGTCACAACTCATAGCAACCTCCAACTCCTGGGCTTAGGCGATTCTCCTGCCTCCTGAGTAGCTGGGACTACAGGTTCCCACCACAACGCCCAGCTATCTTTTTGTTGCAGTTTGACTGGGGCCGAGTTTGAACCTGCCACCCTTGGTATATGGGGCCGGCTCCCTACTCACTGAGCCACAGTCACCACCCTTTTTTTTTTAATTTTTGAGATGAGGTCTCAAGCCATCTCCTGCCTCAGCCTCCCTAGTAGTCAGGACTACAGATGTACACCACTGCACCCAGCTAATTAAAAAAAAAATTTTAGAGGCCAGGTGCAGTGGCTCATGTCTGTAATCCTAACATCCTGGGAGGCCAAGGCAGGGAGATTGCTTGAGCTCAGAGTTGGAGACCAGCCTGAGCAAGAGCGAGAGAGAACCTGTCTCTACTAAAAATAGAAAAATTGAGATAAGAGAATCTCTTGAGCCTAAGAGTTTGAGGTTGCTATGAGCTACAATGATGCCATGATGCTCTACCCAGGGCAACGAAATTTGACTCTGTCTCAAAAAACAAACAAAAGGCTCGGCGCCTGTGGCTCAAGTGGCTAAGGCGCCAGCCACATACACCTAAGGTGGCGGGTTCAAATCCAGC